ATTGAGTGAAACATTTCCTCTGTGCGTTTGATCGGGCGTGAGAATGACGTATATTCAAAAATATATGGTAGAAAATAGGTTAGAACAAATTACTTGTAAATAACTTATTAAGAGTATTATGGTGTAGGTCCGATAAAAAAAACATTTTTAATGCGGCTGCTTCGTAAATATGCGCCGGTCTCAAGCCCGATCAAACGCAGAGAGCAAATGTTTGATTTCAATATTATATCAAATTGTATAAAAAAATAGTTCATTTGTATTACTTATTTAATCAATTAATTTATATATTATTTAAATAAATACATAAAGACTGATAGAATATGAAATTATTTATTCGTTAAAGGCAATTGCAGCAGGCAACGTTGGAACCGCACGAATAGCGGACGGCCGAGCGGCCGAGCGGTTAGCGCGCGGTTCGTTTCATTTTAGTGCTGTCTTAATCCTATTAGCGGACACTTGATTTTCTCAACGGTTTCTTACGTAAAAAAATGACAAGGAACACGATGGTGCAAAAATAAAAAAAAATATCGTTTTTTGAGATATCGTCGATTTTTTGAAAAAATTGTTTATAACAATGACATTAATAAATGATTTGGTTTTTAACTATTTACATTTTAAAAGTTAAACTCTTTCCGCGTCTTTTGAAAAAAGAATCATGTCCATATCTTTATTAGTCTCCGAGAAATTAGGTTAATAAAAAAAAGTTCAATATTTTTTCAACAGTTGATAAGTCGGCCCCTTATCAATATTTTGATCTAAAACTCTGAACAGATGTTGACCTCTGTATAAGTAACAAGTCTACCAACTTTGAACAAAATTGGTGATTTAATGTTTTAAACTGTTTGAAATAGCAAAGAATTGGCCTGCAGCGGCATCAACGGTCTGAGTCTGCAACGACAGCAACAACAGCGACGTCCGGAGTGACTGAGAGCACCGGTTTCAAAATTGCACTAACGGTTACGACTGATCACCGTAACCGCAACAAAGGCTAGGTGCACCTACCTTATTCGCGTCGCTATTTTTGAATTAGGATTGCGTGATAGGTAGGATTAACGTTGAGCAATATACGATTGAGCCGTACCGAGCGTTAGTTTGCGCCAAATTTATTTTGTATTTTCTTTCTCTCCCTACCGAGTTTGTAAATCAATACGCGCGTCCGATGGTCTTTCGGCCCGTATTATTGTATTAAGTACTAAACCTATTAAAAAGGATTATCATTTTAACTCGCCATATTGCATTCTGTCTTCGCCTTCACATATAGTAAGCTCGTTTTCCGGAAATATTTGAACGATTTGGTCTAGGAGGTTGTAGCAGATAAATATTAACATCTACCCACATAACGGAAGACAAGTACCGCAAGTCAGGTGACTTAAGATGAGTTCAACATATAAATAAATTTCCAGAAAATTCGTAAAGGTTGTTTACATATTTTCAAATACATACAAACCATGTTTATCATTAAATTACGTAGCTACTCCACGAAAGAATATTAACTCTGAAAGTTTGTGAATATAAGAATAGTTAACTCCCATAAATCGAATTTTGATGAAATTCCCAAAATACCTCGACTAAAATTTTCCGCTTTCTTTGCAAAATTATATTTTTTAATTTAATTTAAGCTATTTTGAAAAGCTGGAATTCGAAAAATTGTAAAAAAACAATATTTTTACTTAAAAAAATTAGAGGTTGCAACCCTTTATGGTATAAATAATTGTAGTAAACTGCCATTTTATAACAAACAATTTGATATTGAAATTATATCAATATTTAATTTATTTTAGAGTGTGACGGTAAACGTCTTATTAGCGCTAACGGCCCAACCATGCGGCTGCCTGTGAGGGCAGCACCTACCGGTTGGGGAAAATGTGACGAGGGAATTCGGCACGCGACGGGACGGAACGCGCGCGTATGAAAATGAACTAGTCGAGGATTAGCTATCGATATCACTTGACCGAGTGTAAGGTTAGAACCCGTACACTCAGCTACTGCTAAAAAAGACCAGAGTTTTTCCTGAGTTTTCTGAGTGCTAAGAGGATTAGCTATCGATATCGCCTGAGAGAGTCAACTGATAAGGACCGAGATGAGCTGTGCCTTCGCTTGACGGAGCTGAATGCGTGCTAGTGTGCGTGAATGAGCAGTTTCGCCATCGAAGGCGAAACTGAAAACGCGAGATACCTCGCAACAAAGACTGACTTTTCCGCAACTAGGGTGCGAACGTTTACTCTCGTGCTACCGTACAGCTGCTAATAAGGTAAGTTCGCCAGCTTAATTCCGCGATTACTATAATTGTTATTAACTAATCTCGCGTACTCAATAAGAATCGTGCATGTAGTAACTCGGCGAACAAAGAGCGGCGAGCGATCCGACACTGCATGTTGTTGTCGCGCGCGCGTCTTGTAAACATAAACACGCGGGCCGAATACATTGTAGACTTAAGACCGCGTTTTAAAGTGAGGTCTCTTTGAACGGCAGATCTCACAAGTGCCAACTGCTCCGCCTCAACGGGGTGACGCGGTGAACACCCAGAAGGGTGGCCAAATGGCGGCTCTGGCTAAATTTCGAACGCGATGAACCCTGTTTTGACCCAACGACAGAGTTTTGAAAGATCTGACTTTGGGACGGAACGGGGTAAAAACAACCTTTCGAATGACGGATACCCACCAGCGTGAGCGGGTTGGACCGAAACGCAATGGGGAGACATGCCTCGGCATGTCGAAGCGATGGACCTGTGAGTCGTGGGAGAAATCCCTTAATACAGGAACGCAGGGTGGGATGTATTTTGAACGCGAGCCCAGGAGGGGGGCTTAGTTGGTTGATCGTCTAAGGAATCCTCCTCTGGCTGTCCTGACTGAGTCTCTCCTCTGACATCCCAATTTGGGTTGGCCTCTGCGGGGTAGTGGTACCAGGTCAAGCAAATCTCGTAAGATTTGTATGCTGCGTGCTTCCGACGCAGTAGACGTTGGGGCAACTAGAGTCCCGTCGCGCCCAAACCGAGGGTCAAGCCTTTAGTTCCGCTCTCCCTGAGCGTTGAACCGTGAAAAGATCGGTACTCCTTTCGAGGAGGTCGCCGCCTTAGATCAAAAAGGTTCCGACTCGCTGAGTGCGTCAGGGATGTCGCAGCAAACTTGACTTCCGGATCCCCAATATATTTGAAAGCGAAGGGGTGAAAGACAGTGGGCTATGCCAACCTACTGGCGCCCAGAGAGAGGGGTGGTAATGTTTGATTACGCCGCGCCACCCTCAAAGCGGAAAAGTGTGAACAACACACATACACTAACTGTAGACTTAAGAGGCAATAAACGATCTCGCTTGTGATATTGATCGTAATTCTGATGTAGTTATTTCTCACTGGTAAATAGTTGGTTGACTGACACCCGTTCCCTCCTGCTCTCCGATTTTCGAATTTGAACGTGTAGATAATCCCGCGCGCTCTTCGATACGATCGCGCGCATAAATTAAATAAACGGATAGTTACCCCGTTACAAGAGATATTAAGAAAAGTTCATTTTTAGAGGTGATTTTTAAGGGTTGTTTTCACCCATTAAAAACGCTCCTTCGCCGATAAAAAAATACGTGTCTCATATTTTTTTATATTCTATAACATATTACAGTTACATAAAAATCAAAGGCGAACCCCTCGCAAGGGTTCTTCGTTAATTTATACTGAAAACGGTGAAAAGGCTGATGGACCTGTATGCTAGGCAAGACATACCTATGCACCGGATGCTTCATCTACGTTTAATAGTTAGTTACATTAAGAAGACAATGAAATCAAAAGAAATATTTCTATAAACAACATAGACAATGCCCTGATGGCTATGCCGATAACTTCGAAATCTTTATCAAAGGAAGGTACAAAGAAATACGTAAACAGTTTAAAATGAGTCTCGTTCTTTTTTCGCTTTTTTGGCAGGGAACCTTGAATTCTTGGGCGAGCTATCACTTATCAACAAGTGATGTTATTCCGGGGTCGCATTGTAGGGATGTCATCGCACACGTTCCGCTTAATCTCCCTTCTAGCTATTCGGATTTAAATTTTGGCAATCAGGCCAGGCGTACTGTGTTGAGGGCCTTTCTTTTAAAAAATGGTGACGTCATTCATCCTACGAGGATGCGTTGAGATGGATTTTGGCGTTAGTTGATGACCTGACGATCCTAATAGGCGGATTCTAAACCTGAGTGGGTTTATTGACTAGCATTAGTCTCTCACTCAAACTGGGAGGCTCTGAAAAGGGTCTTTTATAGATACGTTAGAAAAGTAGTCCTGAAAAAGACTGATGGAGACTGAAGAAAAAATGAAACAAATATTTAAAAGACAATAAATATTTATTATCAAATTCTTTTGGCCTTAAACTTATTGATAGGTAAAAGGGAGAGATAACCTGCCCAAATTACTAGGAAGTTAAATACGTTTAATCTAAAAGTCATTGAGATAGGGGGCTAATTTTTTGTGCTTAACTAAATGCAACTAGAAAAATGATGGTATGGAAGAGAAATAGATAGAGCAGAAAACGGTGGTAATAAGATGGATAAATATATAGAATAGGAACTTCTTTTCTTGACTAAAAATGTTGGTTGGTTATAATTCTCTCTATAGTATTATACAATCATTGGTACAGATTCGTATGCAATTCAACAGCTATTTTTCATGTATTTAGTAGCAAAGCTCTCAATACCTTGTAATAAAATACGTTTAAAAAGCAGTTTTTTGATATTAGAATTATGAATGAATAATATTTCGTGCATCTCTCATTCTTCAATACTATTTTATTCATTATATACACTTCATTCCGTAACAAAATTATTTTTAAATAATTAAATGAAATTCATAATTGCAGTATTTTATAAGGGATGGTTATATATTGGAGTTTGTAATCATTATATTAAATAAAAATATATTTTTGCATGATCTATATTTAACTTAATTCTAAAGAATTGTTAGCAGTTAGTCTATTTGGTTAACAAATTGATAAAGAGATTCGAATTATGAAGATACTTACAGGACTGACTGGTGTTCGCGGCCATCCTGGACTGTTTATCTCAGAATAATCTTCATGGATAGAATTAATACTACCTGTACCTGGAGATGGAATGGTACTCGAAGGAGTTGCAGGATGACTATGGTAGCTCATTAAATCTTTTCGAACTTTAGATGTGAATGCAGAATCTTCACCAGAAGCTGTAAACAATATACTAATTTTATTCAGCGTGTTCATGAAATCAATTTTGTAGTTCACGCAAGAACCTTAAACAATGCCACAATGTAGAGAATAGTCAGAATGCAAAAGAAAAAGAAAAAAATGTATAATTTACCCACGATATTGTTGACGAGAGAGCATGTTATAATTACAAATAGTATCATTCGCCTTCAATTTATGTTGAAACATGCACATTAGTGCTATCAAAAATTACAAAAGATAGGAAAGCTTCTCTTGAATAATGAAAAAAGGAATTAAAATAGCCAGGAATCAGGCTCATGAATGTGTGAATTTATTAGCTTGGTGTAGCGTTGATATCGAATAGAGTATCTCTATAGACGTATCTTACACTCATAAATTCACTTTCCTCGGATATCGCAATCAATAATCGTATCAAATGATGACGATGGGTAATTAAAAAAAATCATGAGTTTTTTATTCCTTAACTATGTTGTAGTAGATAATATGATTTGCATTGTATCATGTGGAAATGGTTTTCTTAAACTGAGAATACGAACATTGAATAAAGTAGATGATAAATTTATAAATTAACTCACACATGAAGCTCTGATTTACAATTTTTCTATAATAATATTATTTCATTCGTAGTTTCAGTTTCGATGTCATTAATAACATAGATATAAAAGTATAAGAAATTATAAAATCATGATAGCTACGAATATATTTCTACAACATGCGTAAGAAATATATGAGTGAAACTATCGAATACCGATCCAAAGGGTACCCCCCATTAACAATGGTGAAATGCCCTCTTTCGAAAACCTCAAAATAACCTTTGGCTATCTTTAATATAGTGTTTAAGAAGTGCTTTGCCCATATAATTAGCCTCCGACCTCCCCCCCATATATATATATATATATGCAAAAAACGATTTTTTTACGAATTATTTTTTTTCTCGAAATATAATAGCGATATCAGTACAAAAAAAAATCATGGATATACTACTTGCCAAAAGGAATATACCTGATTTTTTTCACATCTTAAGGTGGTGATTTTCTAACCTAAAAAAATTCCCGAAATTTTCAAAGTGCGATAACTTTACTTAGAAAAGTGGCTACAGAAAATTTTTTTTTTAAATTATGTCTTTTTTTCTGACGAATTCAGTGGTATCATTAGAATTTCGAAAATCGTAGTGGGTCATTGAGAAAAAGTCAAAAAACTGAGTTTTTTCGACTTTTTTCGTGGTTTTTGGTCGCTAATTCTTCGCAGTCGATTTCTATGCCAAATCTGATTACACCATTCGATTCTACAGGAAAAATTACATCGAAAACATGTATAATAACATAGAAAATAATATTGGATCATCGTTGAAAAAATTCAGTAAAGAAAAAAATCAAGAACATCGGACGTATTTACTTGAAATTTTTGTCTTATTAAAGAAATTAATGACCCTACATAATATATATATATATATATATACTAGTGGGGCTCCGCCCCCCTGCTCGCTCCGCTCGCCAACCCCCCATTTTAGTGAATGAAAATATAAAAGAAACATTACTGATATTTTTTCCACACCACCGTTGAGGTAAATATCATGGCGCATTTTTTTTATAGTGGTGACCACAACTGCAGGATGCAGGAACCCCCCGCGGAACTGCCGCTAGGTATTACTTCGCGGGGGTGGCAATAGCTGATTAGCTCTTCCTCCTTGTTGTCCTTCCCTACGTCCCCCGATCGTCGTTGATTGATCGAGGGTTCAGGTTTGTCAGACTCCTATGTCGTCTTCTTCTTACAGCATCGTCCGGTCGTCTTCTTCTTACCGCATCGTCCGGTCGTCTTCTTCTGTGTTTTTTTCTCATCCGAGAAGAATCTGTCAAGTTAACTACAAGGGAATCGCATTAGTGCGAGCGCCCTGGGTTCGTTGTTCTTTTCTCGTCTTCTCTTCTTTTCGTAATTCTTCGATTACTTCTCTGGCATAGTCCGCTGTGGCATTCCAACTGCTCTCGGATCTTAGCATCTGTTCGACAAGGACTGTTTGATCGTCGTGTCAAGTGTGCTTTCGAGCCTTCGTCGTTGTGTTTCAAATCTTGGGCATGTGAAAAATACATGCCTCGCGTCCTCCTCTATTCCTCGACATTTTTGGCATTCTGGTGAGTCCTCATGTTTATACTTGTGCAAGTATTTGCGGAAACATCCGTGCCCAGTCAGTAACTGTGTCAGGTAGTAGCTGGGATCTCCATGTTGGCGGTTCACCCATTTCGCTATCTCTGGGATAAGCTGATAGGTACATCGGCCCTTTCCGGAGCTATCCCACTGTGCCTGCCAACGTTGAATACTTTTCTGCCTTTCTCTTTTCCTGCAGTCATCTATTTCTAACTGCCTGGCTTTCCGATGCTCGTACAGCCGCGTCTGTTCTTCAGCCAAAATCTCGATGGGTAATAGCCCCGAAATTACATGTGCTGCGTCTCTGGAGACAGTCCTAAATGCACTGGTAATTCTTAGTGCCATTTGCCTACCTACTGGATATATTCTTCTTTGGCACTCCTGCAGTTGTAATACAACATTTTCTCAATATAAACAAACAACGACTGTTGTCACGAGTCGAAAGCATGAGTAGAATAGATATAGTCGTAAATATAGGGACTACTTACGTTTAATAAATACTTCAAATTTGCCAATAAATAAGTGATATGAACTAAATTTATAGAACTATAAAAACACACAACAACAACGGCTGTTGTCACGAGTCGAAAGCATGAGAAACTATAGTGAAACACATCAGATTGACGGTAGCACATAGCGATCACAGCGCTTCCCGCGGCAATATCTATAAGTTTAGTAAACTTTAAATTTATGAATTCGTGCAGCAATTAAAACATTGTGCTTATTAAATATTTAAAAAAAAAAAACTGATTAATATTACAATACTCATTGAATAACCAAACTCGCTAACTGAATTGAGAATAAATTGCTATAATATAAGAACTGAAATTCTGAAACAAATGTTATAATCAATTACATGGTCATGTATATAAATTCATGAATGCCATGAAATTGAAAAAGAAAGGGACAAAAAAAGTTTCAAAATCGAGGGGGAGGGGGCCAAGTTAGGGGGGAGGGGGGGGAGGGGGCATAAGAAATAAAATATTTGTTTTAGTTTAGCAAAAATCAACAAAAACACGGTAGAAACACCGTAAATATTAAGCTTTTTAGTACAAAAATACCAAAAACGTAATATTGAAAAGGGGAGTGGGGAGGGGAACAAATCAGGGGGAGGGGGGGGGTCTACTTCCGAAGGCGCCCTTACAACTATATATATATAGTTAGATATATATGAGTGTGTAAGCGAGTGAGTGTGTAAATGCATTTCAGTTATAAATTATATAGAATTAATATAATATAATATTATAATTATAATTATAATATAAAATTATAAATTATATAGAAAACAACTTATGGAAGAAAACGGTTAATCGTAAAAAAAATTTTTGAAATAAAACAACTGAAATTATTGGACATATTTACTGATAATTGTTATGATTTATTAGCTGAATAAACCATTAAAATTACAATGTGTCGTAGTATTTACAGATAATTGTTGAAAAGCAATACTGAAAATCACTTTAGTCCTCATCACTGTCTTCATCGATGACAGGAACTGTACTATTAACATCAAACAACTTAGTTAGTTGTTCTGCTGGTTTCGGGATGCGTGATAAATATCGGGCATGAGCCAAGTAATAAATAATAGATGCCACATGTGAACAACAGCCAACGGTCCTGTTGCCGTTAGAACAATTACAACAATATCTTTTGATACCTTTTATGCCATAAGTTTGAGGTTCGTACATAGGCCTTGTACGTCTTACTATTGATGTGTCTTGATTTGACTTCAAATCTAATGATACAATTTTCTTCTATAGAACACTTCAGATTTAAAGATTCATTCTCGCCCAACATTTCCGCTAAGTAACAAATAGCTTGAGATAATTGATATGTACCCGTAAAAAGAATTTGTAGCTCATCTACAGTCAGTTCTGGAAAATCTAGCAAATCGTTTGACGAAATTATTTTGAAAGGTTTAACTTTTTTATTCCAGTTGTTCTCTTCAACAAACTCTGCTAGAGTATTTTTGACATTGATCATTTTAAGAATTCTAGCAATTATCAAATCACTTTTGCCAACATCTGAATTAAGTCGTTTACAAAATAAGTTAATGAGAAAGCATGCAATTCGACAGTACAATCCAGCATTGGGCAACCTGGCATTATGAAATTGATTATGAAGAAGTTTGCATTTTTGCCCTACTATCCCATGAACAGCTTCGACAACCCATCTAATTTTGGTCACCAATCGCGATTGATTTGATTCTTCAACCGTCAATTGATTTCGCTTTCCTTTTAAAGCTGGCATAAGTACATTGAAACCTTTACTCGTCAGGAATGGAACCACGTCACGAAAACCTCTATCTAAAACGAAATAATCTCCTTTTTCTAAAATGTTGTTAAGACCACCAGCAGAGCACAAAATTTCTTTTAAAATTGCAGCATCATTGAGGTTAGCATTGTATGGTCCTTCGACATAAACTGTAAAGCCATTTGTAGTTGTTATTGTAAAAGGTTTACATAGTGCTGTTTTCTTCTGCCCAGAATAGGATTTCCTTTGGTACATATTGTTACTGCTTTTTTGATGCCGTAAATACGTACCATCACATACTAAACCCAGTCTATCTCCTAAATTAAATAATATTTTAGCTATTGGTGAGGTTTGGGTCAACAAGAACTCTCTCGAATAAGCCCCATATCCAAAATTTTTGGGTAATACTTCTTCTTCAAAACATTTTAAAACAGCACTAATTGATTGTTGCACTACTTTTTCTTCAATTTCCAGTATAGCAGATATACAAAGATCCGAGTTACCAGTTCTTAATTTAATTAAAAATATGACTAGAGCTTGTGTAACGTTTCGATTACCTGAACTACGCATAGTTATCATCATTTCCTTAAGAGTAATTATGTTT